CACACACACACACACACACACCCTACCTTTCATATGCTCCTGAAGATGAAGAAACAAAGCAGATGAGCAGTAGAAGAAAATCAATCTTAAGGGGAAGGATGGAAGCAAGCACATTTTAAAAATGTCATTTGTATGTGGAATAGAAATACTTTTTTAAACCCATAGCAGAAATAAAGATAGTTTACTTTGTTAAGTTTAACAAATAGAGAGTCAGGCAACCACTCACCGAGTTCAGGAAATCCAGAGGCAATCCGGACTTTCGGGCCCCTGGTTCTTTTCCAGTCTCTGGTCCTGCGCGTCGTCGGCCAGCTGGAGAAGTCCCACGCCCGTCTAGCGATCCTAGCACTGTGGTTAGGCTGTGCCCTCATTTTTATTCCCCGAGACTGGAGGATTCTTTCCTGGCTCTTGCCAGGGACCAGAGGGTCACTGGACCTCCGGAATTGCCTCTGACGGAGCGTCCTGCCAGCCGGGAAGGTCCTCAGGCTGGGCGGCCGCTGCTCACTGCAGCTCTTGCGCAGCCTGCCCACTCGCCTGGAGTCTGACTCTGGGCCTCGGCATGTCCTTTTTTGGTTTCATCCTCCAGCTTGAGTGGCCGCTGGCCCTCAGCGCCTGCCTCTCCCCAAGACTGCCCCTTCCCTGGCCCCTTCAGGACCGGGGGACCCCTGCAGCCTGATGCGGCCCAGCCCAGGCCTCTGCCCAGCCTGCAGGCACCACACTCCGAGATAAGTGCCCTCTAGCCCCATCCCCTGGTGCTCAGAAGGTCTCAGTCTCCACCCCACGGCTGAGGTTTGAAGAAGTATTTTTATTCTTATCCAGGTACTATGGGAAGGGTCAGTATGAAGCTGTTGGTGAAGCATTAGTAGAAATAGCATATCCTGCTCTGATAAAATGTTGCGATTTTGATTAATGACAATACGGTCTACAGATAAACCTTTTACCTTGGTTTTCACATTCCTCATTAATACATATTTAATGTAAGTTACTATTGTGTTCTGAGAAATTTTTACTAATAAAATAATTTTCTCTTAGGAAGACTGTTAAGGAAATGTCTAATTCTGTTATGTATTTCCATAATCAGTCTTCCTGTGGTTTTGAGCCCTAGGGTTGACATATTCCCACTTGCTCCTGAGATGCTGCCAAAACACACCTCAAATCATCCCTTCTGGATTCTGGGCCTTGGGAGCCAGGTTTCTGATTTATTGTGAATTTTGTTTTTAGACAATTCTTGGAGGTCTGCTGCTAGGAGCCATAACAGTGTAAGTCTTTGATGCACATATCCTTTTCGAGTGTGTGCTTTTCTTTGAACATATATGTGAATAATGACCACAGTCTCTGGTTTTAGTTTCTATAACACTGAAGAAGCGTTGCGGGTCATGGCGGCAACTGCTCTGGTGATGTTATCACTCACCTTATTTGCTCTTCAAAGTCATGTACCACTGAAACGGATTTCTGTCCCAGGGAGAGTGTCCCTCCAAACCCATTCCCCTCTCTGCTCTGCTCTCCTGTGGGGCTTGTCTCTGGGGCCTCCTTGCCTTCTGGCTTTCCTAGTAACCATGCTAAAAAAGTAAGAAGAAACCGGTGAAATTAATTTTAATGATGTATTTTATTGAACCCAATGTATGCAATGTACCATCCTTTCAGCATGTAATCAGTATAACACAAATAGTAAAGAGATACTGTACATTGTTTTGAACTAAAGTTCAAAGGCAGTGTGTTATTTTATACTTACAGCACATCTCAGTTCAGACCAGCCGCATTTCAAGTGCTCACTGGCCCATAGAATTTTGGCCCCTTGAGCCCTAATCTCTCATCAGCACTTCAGCTGATGAGTGCTGTGTATTGAAAGCACAGCTCTAGGCTCTGCCTCATGAGCTGCTGCTTCAGCCCAGTGTGGGGTGGGGCCCAGTATTTTGCATTTTCAAGGTGGCGCTTGTGCTGCTGGTCTGAGAACCACACTCAGTGACCTTATACTTGGCTGTACTTGTGTTGTACTTGGTACATGGAGGGTAGGGAGTGAGGGGAGAAAGAGAGGAATTAGGAAAATGCTCTTGCAAGAAGATATCTTGGATTGAAGGGTCTCCCTTTGCTGCATAATCCAAAATTTTTGAGGCCAGAAGATGAAGGCCTTTCTTATAAAAATCCTAATCTCCCCCAGGTGGATTTGGTCCTTGATTTATAAAGGCAAAACCAAAAAGCATATTAATAAATTTCAAAACTACAAAAGAATCATTAACAGTAATGTTTGAAAGCTTAGAATATATATTTTTATTAAAACATGTACACACAGACATGAAAAAGGCACCCAGTAAACACCTTGGTCTATTTCATTCCTTTAATATATTGTATGCATATGCTTTAAAAAATATGAATGATTATCATACTATACATACAAATTTACATCCTACATACTCAATGTAGCTTTTTTATTAGGGGAAATTTCATATAAATACAAACAGAATAGTTTCATGAACCTCCACGTACCCATTACTCAGTTTCAAAAATTATCAGCTCATGTCTCCTGTAATTTCATCCATACTCCTACCCTCTTCTTCTTGAAGCAAATTCCAGTCAACATAATCTTTTTTGGGTAGCATTTTTCAGGGATTGGAGTGAATGGATTTCTGTGATTCTCAGAACTGGCCAGAGTGAATTATTAGCAAATGAGCCAGTGCCTGTGTTTGGGGTGTAAGATGCATGTCCTGTAATTCTGCACAAATGATAATTGAGTTCTTTTTGTGTTGTTTATATTTCCTCAGTGTGATTTCACATTGCTAAATGGAGTGCTGCTCGTTTTAGTCTTTGTACTTATTACCTATGGAATCTCTTACTGTTCATATGATCATATGTAAGTGGAATCTCATTTGGAAACCTCAGGGAATTGCTAGAAACATGGGGTGAAGCACTGGTTGTGTTAGTCTGGATTCTCTGAGAAGAGGACACCCAGATGGGAGAATGGTGTTGGAGAGGAAATGTGGGGCAGCCAACCGAGACCGAAATGCCGCCAGACTGTGCTACTAGCTGACCCCAAGTGAAGGAGAAAGAAGGAAAGGAAGGGAGCCCCTGAGCTACAGTCCCCCAGGGAAGGCCCGTGGCTCCCATCAATGACTGAGAAGTGGGATGGTGGCCCAGGAGCCAGCTGCAGTGGGTTGCACAGCTCCACCTCGGGGCCCTGGGCCAGTTCCACCCCACTCCTGGGAGCTGCAGGTCTGTGAGGCCTGTCCCAGGGGCTGCCCGGTGTGTGGTGTTTGGGGTACCTGGACAGGAGGTCTGGGGCATGAAGACTGAGCTTCTACCCTAGACTACACCTGTCCTTCCCCAAGACGATCTTGGGTGAATCTATCCACAGGGCAGGGCACACGCCTTCAGTATGTGGCTGCTGCTTGCTTGCAGTGATGGGAGCAAAGAAATGGGCTTTTCAGACTCTTCTGAGCAGCCTAGAGGAGGCTCCGTATTTTCCAATTCCAGCTTTTATTCTTTTTCTTTTCTTTTTGCTCTAATATGTTCATGGACCTCTTAGTAGTTATCAGACATAAGCTGACTGGCCACCTCTGCCTGGAGAACTAGCTCCAGCATAGTTCTGATGCCTGGAGCCTCTGTCCTATGAATTGAGTTCTGACTGGCCTGGTGCGTCAAACATATAAAAGATTTCTGATCAGTTGAGAGACTGGCTGCTTTTGAGTGGGTGCAGGCTCCTCTCGTCCGTCAGCTGTGGCAAGGGCATACATAGGGCACTGCTTTCAAGAGCTGAGGGGAGGGCATATCCTCTAGAAGGTCCATGTGGACAGGGCAAAAAGGGAAACATCTAGTACATTCTACCTGCCCTACTGTGTACCAGATGCTCAGTGCTTATTTGATGAAACTTATTTAGCATATACGAGGCTAGTTATCATTTGCTTGCTGGATGGAACTGAGTAAATGCTGTTGGTCACTACGTTCAAAATGATGCATTTCCCCTCAGCTCTGCGCTTCGACTTTGTTAATATTGGGTCCTTATGTAGTGGCAGAGATGGAAGTGGGCCTTTCATTATCCCAAATCGTCTTAACACACAATTGTTCTTCTTTCTGCAGTGGTTGCATCTATTGTATGCTGGACTGGGAACTGTGGTCTTCTCACTTGTGAGCCCATTTCACCTGCTCTTTGACAAAAGAGTATGGTCTATACATCGACAGAGTCCCTCTGCCCCTGTGCTAGGCCTGGGGTCAAGTGGAGTCAGTAGTTCACAGGAAAGCCCTCCAAATTTCATCCTCGTTTTCATCCTCTCCCTTCCTTCTTTCCTCCTCCTCCTCCCCGTCCTGCTTTTTTATAAAGACAATTCTTTAGAGCACTCTGGAGTTCACAGCAAAATTGAATGGCAGGCGCAGAGCCTTCCGGTATGCCGCCTGCCCTCACACAGGGATGGCCTCCCCATTATCAGCGTCATTCACCAGAGTGGTACGTCTATTACCCTGATGGACCTACATTGACACCTAGTGTCACCTAAAGTCCCTAGTTGACAGTAAGAGTCCCTCTTGGTGCTGTACATTCTGTGGGTTTGGATAAAGGTATCCACCCCTGGGAGAGCTGATACCTGAATTACTTGGAGAGGTTTCACTGAAGTGGTATTGTCCTAAAATGGATTGTTTTAAAGAATCTTTAAGACCCCAAGAATTCTCCTCAATGCCAGGGTTGTTCTCCCTGACGGGACCGCCCCACTGCCCTAGCCCCCTAGAGTCTGGCCCCTTGTTTCCCGGTCCTCCCTCTGACGCACTCACATGGCTCGTGCCTGCTCACCTGGAAACAGACGCAAGGGAGACAGGACACTTTTTTTTTTCTTTATGTTTTAGGAGCTAACACAGTTATTTATTGTGGGGGTTACTTAACCATATAAAATCCCCTCTTCTCATTCTACTTTGGAAATACTGCATCATTGTAAAGCCATTCCCAAGGTCAAGGTCTGAAAAATGCTGTCACTGAGAGCTCCAAGAATTCAGACACATTGCTGTGTGTGAATCTAAATGTCGGGGAAGTACATTTTCAGAACATGTGGGCAAATCAGAAACACAGGGCATTTTGTAGTTCATCTCTGTGTCCCACCTGCCCACGCTGGTCCACATCACTGACTAGAGACACAAAAGTTTCTGGAAACCTTTGCTTGGAAAGCAAAGGAAGGCTCACACATTTGGCCTCATCACCTTCAGGAGGGCAAAGCTTTAACAGAAGCACTTGCTTTAAGAACTATTAAATTTTTTTTATTTTGGTATCATTAATATACAATTACATGAGCAACATGATGGTTACTAGACTCACCCCATCATCAAGTCCCCCCCCCCCCCCCATTACAGTCACTGTCCATCAGCATAGTAAGATGCTATAGAATCACTACTTGTCTTCTGTGTTGCACAGCCTTCCCGTGCCTCCCACCCACTACATTATGTGTGCTAATCATAATTCCCCTTTTCCCCACTATCCCTCCCTTCCCACCCATCCTCCCCAGTCCCTTTCCCTTTGGTTACTGTTAGTTCATTCTTGGGTTCTGTGATTCTGCTGTTTTGTTCCTTCAGTTTTTGCTTTGTTCTTATACTTCACAGATGAGTGAAATCATTTGGTACTTGTCTTTCTCCACCTGACTTATTTCCCTGAGCAAATATCCTCTAGCTCCATCAAGAACTATTAAATTTAATAGAATACAAATTCAGGGACATGATGGTTGAGGCTTAAGAAAAACATATATAGCCACAAATTGACTTTCTGCAATGTGTAAAGAGATACAAATTTTTCCAGATAATATAGGACATTATTTGACAGAGATATACAATGTAACTAGCTAATTCTTCTTTCCTTTCTTTAAGTACTTGGTGATGGACGTGCAGCTCATGGTGGGAGGGCACCACCATCATTCTGATCTGGACCCTGACAAGCATGTTTTCACTGCCCTGAACATCTACTTGGACATAATCAACCTTTTCCTTTTTATATTGCAACTGATTGGACTCGCTCGGTAGTCACACAGCCAGGGCTGGCTCGTGTGGGAAGAGGGAAGGAGGGACGCCTGCGAAGGGTCGCCAGGCTCTGACATGCAGGTTACATCTTCATCTTTCATGAAAAATGTTTTTTAAATACTGATTATTTTTTTTTTGTCAAGTGAAACCAAGCCCTTCAGTAGATGGTAGCTGTAGCTGTTAGATTTTTAGTTCCATTGTTACATCGCAAAACTTCCTAGAGAACAGTTCTGATTTTTAAAATTTCAAAAGATGAGTGTCGTAACTGCATACTTCACAAACATTTGTAAGACAACATTACTTTGGTGAAGTTTTGCAGGCACTATTTAAAGCTGTACACCACATCTCTAAATGATAAAGTTGAGTACAGAAACCTGTATTTACTTCTTTCTCTTCCCTTGATCTGCAGGAGTATTTTGGCATCTGACTTTTTTTTTTTAAGAGTAAGATAAATCAATGAATTCTTTCTCTGGAATTCCAGAGTCAGACTGGAGAGAAGAACAGTATCGACCTGGAAGGGGTTAAAGAGGATTAACATTAAGTCCATGAAGGGCTCAGGACAGAGTGTTGGCTGCCATTGTCCCTGTCCTACCTATATTTCTGGGCTTAATTCAGAGGACAGATCTTCTAACTGTCTGGGACAACTGGCCCCCTTTGCAGTCCCATAATGTTTAAGATATTTCAATCGTGATAAAATACATGTAACAAAATTTACCATAGTGTATAGTTCAGTAGTGTACTTTCACGTTATTGTTCAACCAACCTCCAAACATTTTTCGTCTTGCGAAATGGAAACTCCATGCCCATTAACCAACAAGTCTTCTAACCTCGGCACTGACATCTGTAATCTTATATAGCCAGTTGGTTACATTCCTGAGAGCCTAGATTGGATGACCTCTACAATCCTCCTGGAGTCCCCACACCTGGTTGGTGTGAGATGCTTGATGAGAAAAATTTTCACTGAGTCGTACAAGCCCATACTCCCAAATGCAGCCAAATGAACCTACAGCTTCATCCCGGCCTTGCCTGTTTCTAATCCCAAGTGCTGGGCCAGGCTGCTGCTTCTCTAGCAGGAAGATTATGTTACACCTACAGGATGAACAAAGGCTTACTCCTGGTGTGCTTCAGGTGGTCCAAGGTCCAAGGAGGGAGCTAGAGAGAAAGATAAAAGTAGAGGGAAGGGTGTGCCAGATGATGGAGGATCTCAATTTTCAGGCGTAGGGTGTCTGACTATCTGGCAGGCGTAAGGTTTTGGTTGCAGTGCCATAGTGAACACCACCTTGGGAGATGCAGTCTGCTCACGGTGGGTGGGTTAGGCAGAGGAGGGCAGTACTAGAGAGAGGAAGGCAGTCTAAGAGCTCATGCAGTACACTTAAGGCACTAGAGGTTAGAACTAGGATAAATGGGGTAGAATGAGTTAGTCGTATGTGATCATGAAAATAGACAAAAAAGATTGATAGTTGATGTCTGACTTATGCATCTGCAGAGCAGGGGAGACCTAGGAAAGCCCCAGATTTTACTGTGGGTAATTATCACTTACTAAAATGAAGCCATCTTAAGAAAGGAGGAAATGGTTTGGGGAGTTGTGAGGTATGTGATAAATGTGGACTTAGATATTCTGAATATGTGGAAACAGAGGAAATGTTAGCTTGACAGAGTGCTGGGAGCTGGAGCTCAGGCCTAGACGTAGAACTGGGGGACCTCACAGAAGCAAGAGGTGAGGCTGGGGACAGATGAAATAGGAATGAGAGAAAAAGGGGGACCCAAAGACTGAACTGTGGGGTGCTATAACTAGGAGATGGAAGGAAGGAAAAGCATGTGGGTGACCAAAATATGAGAGTGGTGAGACCATAGCATCATGGAGGCCAGCTGACTTTCAGGGAGGTGCTGAAGTGTAGCTACAATTCATTTAGGGTTATAGCTCTTGAGAATACATGATGTTGTGTAATTTAACCTATACCAAAAGGTCAAGGCACAATAAAATTAAGAGCAAGCTCCACGGATTTGACACTGACCAGATCACTGATCTGGAGGAGCAGGGAAGAGAGAATCCAGACTCCGTGGAGGCAGGAATGGTTGTGTGGAAGGAGAGGCCAGACCCCAAGAGAGTCTGGCTGTTTCTCCTCTGGAGGGAGAGAAACAGCAGGGGCAGGAAAAGATTGTGTTTTTTGATTTTTGTTTTTTCACTTCCTATGTTAGGGGATATTTTGAGCATGTTTGAAGGTGGAAGGAAATGAAGGTATAGAAGTGGGGAAAAATCAGAATTGAGCAGGGATAAGAGGAGGGCTGGTCTTGGACAGGCCCAAGGCCCTTTTCTTCCAAAACTGGAGAGAGGAATGGGAACATTCACCTGGAGAGCCTCCTGTGAGCAAAGGAAGCAGGGAGGAAGGGGGTCTGCAGAGTCCATGCGGGGGTGGGATTTGGGCTTAGAGGACAGTGGAGAAGGCTTGATCTGGTTGCGTGGGGCTGCATGTGGGAGTCAGCTGGAGAGGCTTGGGTACCAGAGAAGATAAGACTGTGATTAACGCAAATGAGCTCAAAACTGACACAGTCAAGAGAGCTCCACTTTGGGACAACAGTGAATTATGATTCTGTGGTGACGGTGGGTCATAACAACATAACTCCTTATGCCAATCTGACATGGATCAACTGGCCAGAGACCTGGACTTGGGCTAGTGTTGTCTATAGTTTGTTTTTGATGCTATGATGCCTAATGCAAATTAGGCAAAGAGAATAAAATCAAAACTTAGAATGAAAAATCAAAACTGTGGGAATAAAAAGCTCACTGGGTAAGGAGGTTTAATTCCTTCCAGTGAGGTTAGTCCTGATTCTCCAGAGGCCCAGTGTGGAACTGAAGTAACTCTGACCGGGAAAACAATTTGTAACCCCCATCTTTGTTGTCTGCTGGGCTAGACATTTGTATTACAGCTGTTCTGATTCCTTTGTACCCTAACAATTTCTGTAGAAAGTTTCTGCTATTTCCTTGGTCCCCTAAAGGAAACTAGATGCCAATAGAAGCAAATTTTGAGTGAACTGAACCTTCAAAGAGCAATTCTGAAATTCTTAGTGATGGTGTACTGCCACAAACTGAGCCCCAGGATGGCAAGATGTCCCTTGCCCACCTTTTGTTATCTGAATTGCAGCCTATTGGAAAGATGCAGAACTGAGAGAAGCCTAGAGTCTTTAGGTCAGGAAACTGTCCTAGGATTTGCTGAGCCAAATACCCCTTGCCTTTGTTCAAGTGGTTCTAGGACTCAAAGAGCCACCACTTCTACAAAGGGGGATTCTGGATGTGAGATGAACCTGTTATCCCCACAGAAGAGAGAGAGGCTCCATGTGAGGAGAACCTTGCTGCAAAAAAGGAAATAGACTTGAGCCCAGATCAGAAATCACAACATACAATAAACACAGAACAACTCTGAACTGGATCTTCAGCAAAGTAAAGATTATGGAGTCTTAAGAACCATAACATATAAAGAAATCTTATGGAGATATACCCATCTATTTATCTTTTACAGATACAACACTTGGCAATTCTAGCAAATTTTGCCTACAAGTTCTCTCTGAAACCATCTCTTTGTTTCTGTCTCAAGCAACCTATTACTCCCAGAGGAGCCTTTTGAGTCTGAACCACATCAGGGTCTGGCATGAAGATGACAAGGGGTCATTTCCTGCATGGGTGACTTGCACAAGGGGAGGGATGGGGAAATTCGATGGACTTTCTGGTCTCTCTAGGATCCTTTATCATGGAGCTTCAGAATTGCTAGATGTAAGTGAATTCGCAGATTTCAAGTAAGACATTTGAATTTAAGTACAAGCATTATAATCACACAACCAGACTTTCTGATTACTTGTTTCAGATTAGCCCTATCTCCCCTACTTTAGAATTTCTTACTGTATTTATAACCTGGTATCACTACCAGCAAAGTGCTGAAAATGGGTGTAACTTGTGAAATGTAAGTAGAAGAGAGGGACTTTAAAGTCACCCAGCAAAAATCTGGGAAGACACTCTAGAGCTCCTGAGTCTGGATAGCTTAACAAACATTACCAAGCGCAACCCGACAAAGGATTTGGCTCCAAAGTCATGGTGAATTTCATCAAGCTGTACACTGCAATTTGAACATTTTATTACATGTAACTAAAAAAAAAAAATACCATAACTAGAAAAACAGAAACAAAAACCCCCAAAGTCACAGTGAGTTAATTTCCATGCAAGAAAGCAAATTCAGCTCTTGCATGTTCTCTTGGCATCAAGAAAACTTTCCCACATAATAGGGGCACGCTGGCCAATTTCTTTCTTGAGTTTCTGCCGTCCCAGCACCACAATGGACATTTCTGTTGCTTGCGCAACGTTCCCGACCACACACAGTCTATTGTGTGAGTCCACTGTATGTGCCGTCACATAGTGGTGGTGGCTCAGTTAAAGAAATTCTAATGCCTCTTTAATTTATTCTCAATATTAGAAATTCGTCTTTTGAGAAGACAGTTCACAATTTGAAGTCTGTCAGGAGTGGTTTCAAATCCAGTGATGTGTAGCACATTTGTAAATCAACCCAGGACATCCGTAACAAGGCAACGGAAGCTTGCAGGGGGAGCAGGGAATCCAAAGATGAATTCAGGTTATACTTGCCATAAATGATGGGCCTCTAACTTATTTTTTAACTTTTGTTCTTTGTAATTCCAAGTGGGTCTTCCCTCATCTACCTCTAGGCATGGTTTGGTGAGCACATCTGTCTACCCATGAGGGGGCCGTGGTGAAACCACTCATGTTAAAGGCCAGTGCACAGGTAGCCATGTTTTTCTGAAAACGAGTATGCCACTTGGCACTCATAGGCTCAAAGAATGTCAATGGCCAAAAAATGTTGTGCCATATATTTGACATTACCATCAAGAACTAATGTTGCCAGTTTCAGTATCTTTTGCTTAATCAAAGTCCTTGAAACAAATGAATCAACTGCTGAAGATATCTTCAATGATTCCCAAGTCTGAGCACTACTGACAGCTGATAATGCACCAAGATAACATCTGATTTCTCTGACTGTTGCTCTAAAGCAAGGGGTGGCAAACTACAGCTGGCATGCCATATTCGGTCTGCTGTCTTTTTTTAACTTTTTATTTTGGAATACAGATTCACAGGAAGTTGCAAAAATAATAGAGACCTTGTGCCCTCTTCTTATGTGGATGTAAGTTTTCACTTTCACTCTAGGAGTTCAAGTGCTTGGTCATACGGTAAGTAGATGCTTAGTTTTTAAAGAAACTACCCAGCTCTTATCCAGGGTGGCTATACCATTTACTCTCCTGCCAGCAATGTATGAGTGATCCAGGTTCTCTGCATCCTTGTCAGGATTTGGTATTGATACTATTTTAGCCATTCTGACAGGTGTCTTACTGTGTTTTTAATTTGCATTTCCTGATGGATAGTGATGTTGGACATCTTTTCATGTGCTTATTTGCTAGCCATGTCTTTTGTCCATTTCATATTGGGCTGTTTGACTTTTTACTCTTAGGTTCTGAGAGTTCTTTATATATTCCAGATACTTGGCTTGCAAGCATTTTCTCCCAGTCTGTA